ATCAGTAAACTACACGTGCACACAAGGAATGTATGTGATGTCAGTAAACATGACTGTCAGGTGTATGATAAATAAAGTTGGTACAACAGTAAACTACACATGCACACAAGGAATGTATGTGATGTCGGTAAACATGACTGTCAGGTGTCATGACTGTCAGGTGTATGATAAATAAAGTTGGTACATCAGTAAACTACACATGCACACAAGGAAAGTACATCAAATCTAGCATGTTTATAGATTATTGAAGAGAATCTGTTATGGCTGCAGCTGGGATTTAAAAATATGACTAGTTAATACGTGAAATAATTTTTGGTTCAAAAACTAAAGCATGTGCTACTTCTTATAATGTGCTCTTACAAAAAACTATAAATATGCTTTCTTTGTTATAAAAAAAAATTTACTAAATTTTACTGAAGCAACTTTGATTTGAACGTTTTAAATATAATAATGTTTATGACTTAATACTTGAATAAATTGTCTAATATGACTAAAAATGTATCCCTTCATCATCTAGCTACCTAGGAATGAATCAGAATTTGTGTATGGTTATTAAAGAAAAGCTTGTGGTAACTAAAAACATTTTTATCATGAAAGTGGCAAAAGCTGCAATGGAAAATACAAAATTAAATTCATGTCACTACCTAGAATTCATTGGCTATTACTGGTTATCATTAGGCTAGAACTAATAAAAAACTGATCACCATCTGGATATATGTATTTTTGGTTAAAACATTAGTTGATGACATCAGTTCTTATATCATTATTATGTCATATCACCTCTAAAGGACAAAAACCATAAATCCCACTAATATTTCTATTCCAACATTGATAAATTTTTTTTAAGGATAATTATCACAAACTTCATGCAGTGTATTACCTGAACACTTTTGTCTATTCTGTAAGGAATCATTTGGTTCTTTATTTCATAGTCAGGGTTTATCAAATTACATTGTCATTTCCATACTCACTGGTAACTATTTCACTATATTATAGAATCACACATTTATTTGTTTAATATTCTTTCTCAAGTTTCGTTCATGTAGCATTCTACCCATAGTCATAGAGATTCAGCTGCGGAAGATTAGTTTGTAACAAGTTCCAGGAGCAAGAACCCTTGTCAGGAACTGAATGACAAGATATTCTGCTAAAGCTTCTTTTAGAGGAATCAGTTGCCAAGAAAGTTGGAAGGATTAGTTTGTAACAAGTTCCAGGAGCAAGAACCCTTGTCAGGAACTGAATGACAAGATATTCTGCTAAAGCTTCTTTTAGAGGAATCAGTTGCCAAGAAAGTTGGAAGGATTAGTTTGGTAGATCAATATTTAAGGTGACCAGTGGATTTCTCATCATTAATAACATCAGGAATTATGGTGATACTTATTCTATTGTACATTTATCATTATTGAATATATATGTATGTGGTTTAGGGGTAGGTAGAACACTGGTGACAAGTTGAAAGGAAAGACTGATGTTATCAATCGCTGTTTTATCCAAAATGCACCTGTTTAGCTGCTGACCAGAAAAAACACCCATAATGCTCTGACCTATTATCACACCAAACCATGCTTTTACTAAAACTCTTACTGTGAATATGTTACTAGGAGTTTAATCATTGTAAATGCTATTAATGAACGACATTGTTTGTTTATAACACATCTTCAGTATTTAAAGCAAAAAATATTAAGAATTACATCACTCTTAAGTAAATTACTAAAATATGTAGCTTCATTCACAATTTAATGAAACTAAAAGACATAGAAAATAGAGGAGTAACACAAATACTGTGCATATTAAAGAATGTTTAAATGAAGACTGCATGTTATTCAATGTTGGAAAATGCTGTTTGATATGGAGTTTCTTTAATAATAAATTCCACATCAGTGTTGGCCTTGCAAAGGATATTGAAACTTGAGAAGTTAATTATGTTCTGTTTCTTCATTATGCTAGCATATAAAGAAAGCAGAGGAGTTACTCAACTTTTTGTGTTTTCATGGAAATTCCCACATGTTCATTGGCTCTAGTAGATAGCATTTGGTTTTACCAATACACAAGGCCTTAGAGTCTCCACACGTGTAAAGATTTACAAATTATGAACAAAAAGAAATTGGGAGAAGATCTTTAGTATGGAAAAAATTCTTTACAAGTGATGTAAGATTTAAAACGTTTATGTACATCCATTTTGTGTTACTGACACTATAGCAATGTTCAGTTTGTCTACACTTACTTTACCTGTGTTACTGACACTATAGCAACGTTCAGTTTGTGTACACTTACTTTACGTGTGTTACTGACACTATAGCAATGCTCAGTTTGTGTACACTTACTTTACGTGTGTTACTCACACTAAAAGAAAGTGATTATTGTATGAAGTCATGAGAAGATTATGTGTTGTGTTTATGTCTGTCATCCCAAATTTATCTGTTACAATAAAATGGATAACAATACTTACGATGAACAACATTGTTTATTTATAACGGAAACTGCTATAGATGAATGTTTCAGAATTCTAAAGATTTGTAAAGTAAGTGTAGACAAACTGAACGTTGTTAATGTCAGTAACACATGTAAAGTAAGTGTACACAAACTAAACATCGCTAGTGATAGTAACACAGGTAAAGTAAGTGTACACAAACTGAACATCGCTAGTGATAGTAACACACGTAAAGTAAGTGTACACAAACTGAATGTTGCTAGTGATAGTAACACAGGTAAAGTAAGTGTAGACAAACTGAATGTTGCTATAGTGTCAGTAACACACGTAAAGTAAGTGTAGACAAACTGAACATTGCTATAGTGTCAGTAACACACGTAAAGTAAGTGTACACAAACTGAACATCGCTAGTGATAGTAACACAGGTAAAGTAAGTGTAGACAAACTGAACGTTGCTATAGTGTCAGTAACACACGTAAAGTAAGTGTAGACAAACTGAATGTCGCTAGTGATAGTAACACACGTAAAGTAAGTGTACACAAACTGAACATCGCTAGTGATAGTAACACACGTAAAGTAAATGTACACAAACTGAATGTTGCTAGTGATAGTAACACAGGTAAAGTAAGTGTACACAAACTGTACGTTGCTAGTGATAGTAACACAAGTAAAGTACGTGTACACAAACTGAACGTTGCTAGTGATAGTAACACAGGTAAAGTAAGTGTACACACTCTGAACATCGCTAGTGATAGTAACACAGGTAAAGTAGTTGTAGACAAACTGAACGTTGTTAATGTCAGTAACACACGTAAAGTAAGTGTAGACAAACTGAATGTTGCTATAGTGTCAGTAAGACAGGTAAAGTAGTTGTAGACAAACTGAACGTTGTTAATGTCAGTAACACAAGTAGAGTACGTGTACACAAACTGAATGTTGCTATAGTGTCAGTAACACAGGTAAAGTAGTTGTAGACAAACTGAACGTCGTTAATGTCAGTAACACACGTAAAGTAAGTGTAGACAAACTGAACGTTGCTATAGTGTCAGTAACACAGGTAAAGTAGTTGTAGACAAACTGAACGTTGTTAATGTCAGTAACACACGTAAAGTAAGTGTAGACAAACTGAACGTTGCTATAGTGTCAGTAAGACAGGTAAAGTAGTTGTAGATCCCCTTAGTATCATTTATTTAATATACTACATATCGCTTCAAGAGCTACATAATACTATAACAAATGATGTGATGATGGTTTTCTTGCCAGACTCTTGAGCTAGTGTATATATTGCTTTAAAAAGCTGGATGTTCTTTACTTCTCACTGAAGTTTGTTCTTTTATGATACAACTAGGATTGACACCATAACCTAAGTAATATTATGTTTGTGGCAAGTGGATATCAAGTGTTATAATTAGTAGCCCATACCATAACCTTAGTTTTACCATACACTTCACCTGCTATTTTTATGGTAATCTTCGTAAAGACCATGTGGTAGCAGGACCTGGGTATTCTTCTTTGAAAGGCATGTTTGCTATCACTGTATTAAGACTTGATTCCATGCTCTTAAGAGGGGTGTCCAGAATTTGTCAACTCACCTAGGTATCTGATCTTCTCAGTAAGAAACAATACCCACAAACTGACCAGGTGTTAGATATATTGTTTCTTATAAAGTAAACCACTATCATTGGTTCCCATACCTTGGGCACAATGAAATTACCTGACTGTTTGATCTATGGCTGTTATGTGTCACTGAACTATTACCTGTAGCAAATGTGAAACTGCAAAACATTACTATTACATTGTTTAATAAAGACAAGAGACTGTATTTTAAAGGTCATGGCTTGTTTGAATGTCATCTTGCAAAGTTTCAGTATGATTGGATACACCAATCACACTTTTAATTTAAATCACAAAAACGGTAGTAAAGCATAAACAATACTACAGATTTCAGTTTTGTGATTTTTATCTTTAACATCTTCACTGTTGTAGAATGGAATAACTTTAACAAGTATGCTTCTCGTAGGTCAATATTTTCTTCTGTGCATAAATCGACAAAACTTTCAGTTTCTAACCATACGTTGCAGTAAATACATATTTCCGATATCTATAAAATAATTGTATATGTTAGTGAAATTATTCACTGTACAGTGTGCAACAAGTTCACCTATATTGAAATATTTGTATTAACACAACCACGTATTTATCAAATGATCATGTTATGGAAACTTTTTTCGGGTCTCTAAAAGTTTTGTTTGTTCACAAGATTGCCCGATTATAACTAAATGATAATTGTACATGGAATCAGACCTGCCGATAGAACATCCAATGCTAGCACTGCATACAATCGTACTTCATAAAGGCTACAGTAACTGGCACAAATATAAATGTTACTGTACACAATCATATTTGTTATGGACAGTAATATATCATTCAAGTGTGACTTTTTAATTTTCTATTTTACATAATGTTACTTATTATATAAAATATAAACTGCTATTCACATTATCGTTTTTCATCTGGTATGGTTCTTGGATTTAGACACTAACACATTACCAGTACTCAAACATCACACTACACAATCTCCATAATAATTAATATCCCGATCTTAGTAACTTACTGTTGTCTGAATTTGAACAGTTTCAAAACAAAACTATTAACATATTCTGTCAAGCTGTGCATGATCACCTTTACCATCAGTCTTTATTCTTGTAGCATCTTGTTAGTAATGTATTAGTAAACTGACTTTCCAGTAACAGAGATATCTGATGTATTAAGTTATAGATTTTTAATTAAGTATGATATATTCACTAGAATAAGTTCAACTGTTTGTTACTGGACAGTCAATTTACTAATGCATTACTGAGATATCTGATGTATTAAGTTATAGATTATTAATTAAGTATGATACATTCACTAGCATAAGTTCAACTGTTTGTTACTTGACAGTCAGTTTACTAATACATTACTGAGATATCTGATGTATTAAGTTATAGATTATTAATTAAGTATGATACATTCACTAGCATAAGTTCAACTGTTTGTTACTTGACAGTCAGTTTACTAATACATTACTAAGTTATAGATTATTAATTAAGTATGATATATTCACTAGCATAAGTTCAACTGCTTGTTACTGGACAGTCAGTTTACTAATACATTACTGAGATATCTGATGTATTAAGTTATAGATTATTAATTAAGTATGATATATTCACTAGCATAAGTTCAACTTTTTCTTACTGGACAGTCAGTTTACTAATACATTACTGAGATATCTGATGTATTAAGTATGATATATTCACTAGCATAAGTTCAACTTTTTCAATAAAAAGTAATGGATAAGAAGTAACCTTTATCTTGAAGCATTTTTTCAAATTACTTTTTTAAAAAACTTGTATCCAAGTTCCTTGGTCATCCATAATTTACTTTGTACTAGTTTTCCTTAACTCATGATATTCTATTTGTCAATGACTTTTGTCCATGCTGTACTATGCATCATGATGTTATGTGCACTAGCAAATGTTTAGTGATGAATTTTGTTTTATAATTACTGAGAAGTTACTTTTTATAATTAATTTAATTACATGTATGAAATCAAAACTGTGTAGTTTGAACCACCAGACTTTACTGAAATAATGAAACCTTTTGTTCGGACATAAAGTATGTCAATAATGTAATATACATGATCCTCTGATGACTCCTGATATGGGGGCTGTTTTATTACTGAACTAAAAATTTTAAAAGCAAAATTAACATATTTAATGGACATATCCTATCCATAAATAACAGTTCGTTAAGGGTTTTTATACTGTTATAATATGATTATAGATGCCCTAGTTTTAGAAATATGAGACAAAGCTCTTACACCCTATTTATGTAATTTGTTACAACTGCCATCTAAATCAATGATTATTGTAGATAAAACAATGTTTATGTATTAAATATGCTAAATGCTCCACAATTAACCTGTATACAATCTTTTAGGTGTCTATTTTTTATTTATTTTTTTGCCCTCCAAGTTATAGAAGTATTGCTGAATTTCACCAACTTTTATGAGATTTTTGTCTGTAAAATGAAATTTCCCAGTCTGGGAATATAAAATACACTTTTCCAGTTTCCCTGGCTTATGGGAACCATGTATGAGAAAATCAGCACTTAACAGATATTTGATAACAGTATGTAAATAAAGCTAATAATAGAATATTAGTTTTAACAAGTTATTTTTAGTCAAGAATAAAGGTGTTGACAACCACATGTTACAGAAGTTTCCATTCTGATATAAAAGACTAAAATCACAATCCATAAGTTCAAACAGCTATTTTTGGTAGAAGTAGGAATCTAAAATAAAGCCATAACTTGGCTCAGGAATCACTTTTTATCCATGTTATTACTCACTTTGAAATGATGAAATTAGGAGAAAACATCAAGTCAGGTTTACAATTACAAATATCCTTGATCAATGAACATTTTAAACCTACTTTTCAGAAATTCTATAAAGCACAACATTTAAGAGAAGAATATACCACAAGCAATAACTTAGTTTTATTTACAAATTTAATTGGTTTACATCCTCACTAAAAAAACGACAAACTTTTTAATTTGGTATGAATATTTACATCTTGAAGAAAACATTCTTTTGTTAAATATATCAATGATGACAGCATAAATTTCTACAGATGTAAACTTTAGTTTGACAAATAGTTTTCCAGAGATTAATTAAAAAGACCACAATGATGATATTAATTCTAGTTTATGGGGTTTACTATTTCTTCAAGGAAAAGTTTGTATTCACTTAAAGCCACACAAAATATGACGGATAAGTGACATGTAATATACTTGCAATGAATGAAATGCTCAAGCAGTATATTCACACATTGCTTCACTGATAATTCTGATCAGCCATCACAATGTGAAAATCCTTTAAAACTTCTTGCTGTTTAACTCTACAACTTAGAAGGTATTCAAGACTTGAAGCAACAGGTTATGTGGTATATAAACATTCCATGCACTTTCTATGTTACCTACTTACTTTAGTATTATATTTCGGTTTAGTTTGGACACCAAAAAAAATCATGCTATTAAATACATATAATTTTACCTGATTCTACATCTTTGTGGGAACTAGATTCACTAATTGGCAATTAACTGCATTGTCTTGCAGGAAAGACAGCTTACATGTCCCAAAATAAATGGCTTTTTCTGTCAGTGAACAATGTAATGTATGATTGAACACAAGTGGATGAAAGTCACGTGCAGAAGATGTTTTGTATGCAATGGAGTTTCATATGATGCTATAATAGGTTTTATTGTAATTTCAGTTGTTTTTTTACCCTTAGCATGGAGAGCAGAGGTTTATATGGTCCAATTTTACTTTGTTGATGATTAATTTTTATTTCTGTACTGTACATAAAGATTAATAAAAAGTTCAGTTTTATAAAGAAAGGACAACTTTGAGATCTGTGCAATCACATTAAAATTCACTCTCGTAGTTAAAGTTACAGAAATTCATTTTCTGCTACTGGCCATTGCCAAGTTCAGATCAGTAGTATCTTAGTATATGTTTATTGACAACATATTAAAGTCTTCAAATTCAAGACTTTCATCTAATGTATATTCAGAGAATATAAAAAGTGAATGTTAATTATTGTTTTCTCTTTCACATCTCTGTATAAGGAATTTTTATATTTATTATAAGAAATATAGCAATATGTCTCATCTGTCCAGTGTTGACAAGGTCTTTCACCCAATACCAGGGCTTGATTAGGCTAGATGTGACAAGCATAGCAGTGGTTAAGCTTATATTACTTGGCTACTTATTACAAAGCCAAGAGAATAAATTTATTTTACGCCAGTGTGTGTGTGTGAGTGAGAGAGAGAGAGATATAACAAGAACAGTCAAACCTTTTAGTGAACAGCTGACAGTTATTAAAAATACTTTGAACAATAATCAAATCCTTCTTTTGTGCAATACAAATGCAAGGTTCTCCAGTTAACAAACAACAAATTAATGTATTACAAATGAAGGATGTATATAATAATAAGTGTTTATATGCTCCGATATTATTATTCATTATGTAATTACCGAAAGATATGCACACTTATGTTTACACAATCTTACTAGTATGAATGATTCAAGAATTTTTGTTCTAAATTCAAACATTAGCAAGTATGTGCTATAAGTGTTGTTAACAATGAAGTACATGAAAACTGCATGACATTATGTTTTAACAAATTTTTCACTGGACTACAACTAATTATATTTCTTCAGTAACTATTTATACACAATACTTCTTGCAGTCCAACTGTGTAGTTTCAATTCCATAATAATAGCAACACCAGCTAGCTGATGAAGTTGTGGTAGGCTTACTATACTTCACATAAAAAATAATAATTAAAAAACTATGGATCCAGAACAGACTCGAGTTACGTGAAATTAATTTTAAAGTAAACTAATGAGGAATGTCAACGTGGTTGCAGAGTACAAGAACCATAAAGTTTTTCACTATGTCTGAAATCCATTAAATTAAGAAGGCAATATTTAAAAGCTACTATGCCTATTATACAAGTTTACATATTTACACCTTGCTGTTAATTTTGACTAATCCATTGTGTCTATCAAGAGCACCAAGTGTAGCTGGTGATCATGTTACCAATTTTCTGAGTGATGGTTGGACACTTTGCTCCACCTGTAGGACAGAAAAAAAAACATTGTTATATCACTCATACCTAGAACTTCCTACGCAAGTACCTTAGTAAACTATTAATTAGCTTTACCCATCACATATTTAGCAAACCCCAATTATTACACTAGAGATATTCATTTTAGTAACAGTTCTAAACAGCCCTATGGATCCACATTTATTGTCTGTACACAAACAAGATTATGTAATATACAACCAACAGAAATATAATCCTAAATAACTAAGTTTTGTTTTTACACTAACAAGTTTGTCCAAGATACTTGTAACATTTTAAGAGAAGGAAAACAATCACTTACTGTTGCTATTTTTACATCAAATTCTAGCCAAAGTTTTACACATTAATGTAACACTATCTTAAGTTTATGAAGTACATTTAACCCAATTTGTGTAAGATTATGAGATCACCTAATGTTCTTTACAAACCTGTATTTCTGTTGTTGGGGTGCATTTGGAAAACTGGGATTTGATTGCCTCCAAATAATGAATCCCTACTATCAAAGGGATTCATTTCCTCAAACATTCCAAAATTACTATTAAATGATTCCTCTTCTGCATGCATGTCAGTAAATATGTCATCAAAGTTGAAAGACTTGCCACTACCAAACTGAAATCTGTAGCCATTTCTTTCATGATTGTGGTTTTCATGTCCATTATGAAAATTGAAAGCATCAAAGTGAGTGAAAAAGTCCGAGAAGTCAAATGACTCGGATCCATAATCATCTCCACCATTTTCAAAAGCAGCCATCCCAAACTTGTCATACTGTTTCTTTTTGTCACGGTCAGACAATATTTCATATGCTGCAATTAAAAGTAAATACCTTACACTTTTACAGATTCTTGTAAACACTGAAAGTAAAACATGTAATTTGTTATAAACATACTATAAAAAAAATATTTACAAACCTGAATTTAAAATAGTGCATTTCCAACAATTATTTTATTTCAATTATGAATTCGTTTTCAATTTGCTAAGAAACGGGAAATTCACATAAGAAACAATTAGCACTTATTTATTGTTATAATATTTTGTAAAAAGGCATAACTTAAATAAAATGCATGATAAAACAGTTGTGATGGTAGTAAGTTGCAGAAATGGTTACTGGAGCTTAAAATTACAAACTACAATATCTGTATTAACCCGAGCCCAAAACCCCAAGGTTACGCTGTTACACGAATTGTGAATTTCCTACTCTTTTGATCCTGCATTTTCCAAAAGCTTAGTGTATATAATTGTTAACCAATCAGATTTTTTTTGTATTATTAAATACAAAAAGGTCCTTATATCACATATTAAATACCTTGAACTATCTCAGTAAATACTTCTTCAGCATTTTCCTTCTTATTTTTATCAGGGTGATATTTGGCTGCCAACCTTCGAAATGCTTTCCTAATCTCTTGTTCAGATGCATTTTGTTTGATACCAAGTATCTCATACAAGTCCTTTTTTGTCAATGCCCAGGTGATATCAAGTATTACTGCTCCATATAGGACAGTGAAAGTGACTAGTCTGTTGACATACATTATAGACTTGAAAAAAGAAAGAAAAAATTAGCATATAATAAAAATTATAAAAGCAACTTCTTAAGTTGGATGTCTAAAACAGTCAACAGAACCCTACTGTCATTTTTATTCAACTTTCAAACAAGATTAAAAATAACTAAAACTTATTATTACTCTTCTTTCTGTTAGTAACTTAGTTGTCACTCTTCACCCCACCCCCATTTTCAACTTGTGACATTAGCGCTTTCTTAAATTTAAAAGTTACTAAATGTTCAAGTTGTAAACAGTAATTTTTACTTTTAACTGTAAGGGATTTGATCACTTATAGTGCAACTAAAGCAAATAGAATTTCTTGTAGTTGTACAATTTCATGGCTTATCGACAGAGTAACTGAATGTACACGATAAGTAACACTAATCTGAGTATTTTACTTTGGCTGGCACTCTACCAACTACAAACCGATTCAATGATCACTAACATTCCCGAACGTTCTACATAATCTCGATACTACTTTTTATAAACTTACTTGTCTAGATAATATTTAAGTTAAAACTTTGAAAATATATTTTACAACAATACTTTACAAATTGTAGTTTATTATAACAACTCTAACCTTAAAGTTAAACATCTTATTATGAAAACAAAATGACTTCAGTTCATATTTATGTAACAGTTTTATTGATGTAGTTCAAAAATACATTAAAATATAAATATGTAAATAAAAACTACTTTAGAACATGCCCATAAACCAGTGTTAAATTATGAATACAGTGTAAAGTTTTTACAGCACCAGTCCTAAAATGATATAATAAAATATACTCCAAGACTAACTCAGTAACTCACTAGCTGCATTTTATATTTAACTGTGATGAATTTTCGCCCTCATAAAATACTAATTTTTCAGCTTTTCACAAAACCTTTTTTTACATTCTCACATTCAAAATGCCCCTCAAACTTACTGTTAAGTATTCTGACATATTCTAAGCAGAAATGAAACAAACCCAAATCACTATAACGTGTTTAATTAGTGGCTCAAAATATGAAAAAAATAAAGTATTCAAAATTCAAGCTTACAATTCAAAACTCCGTCTTCGCTGCTTTTGACACTTCTGCCGCTTGTACTACACTGCATGGTGTACAGTTGCGTCCTAGTTTTTTTGATACAATAAACAGATAGCGGGACACGAAACTAACTGCTATTGGTTGTAGCGTAACAAGTATTACATTTCCTTTTCCGTTTCCCAGAATGCTTTAGGATAAACATTATTATCATGGAGGGAGATAGACTGGTAATTTCGTTGTTAGGATATCGTGACGAAGATTCTGATAGTTCAGATGCTGATAAAGGCAAGGCTTATAGTTTTTCTGTATTATTTATTAGTTAAGCATGATACTAATTTTTATAGAATACACACAGCAAAATAAAGACACTAAGAAAGGATACATCTTATCCTACCAAACTAAACGCGTTTATTTTTTGTAGAACTAGAAATACGCTAAGCAATATTGTCAGTGTCACTGCAACAGTGCAAGTAATACTAATACAGACCAGTATTGTTCAATGAACAGTAAACTGGTCTAGTAAACTGATTTTGCAACATAAATTTGGAAAACCCTAACACTGTTTTATGACATAAACGAGAACAACCATATAACGAAAACTATTTATTTAATAATAATAATAATGCTCAGCTGATATTTTAGGTAAAATATTTATGATGAAACAATGGCAAAAATGGGTTCCAAATGGTTAGAAGAACCTTAATAAAAATGGAGGCTAAGGTAGAAAAAAGTGACTACATTACAAAAGTCTACCTTCATCAGGTCAGAATAATAAACGAGAATTTGGAAAGAAGCGTTCCAGAATGTTTGGGGGGATATTTTAGATAGACTGTTTCACACTGTCACGTTGTGCACCTTTGAACTTGAAGTAACCTGTTTCCTGTATCTTCCTTGAGTATGAAAAAATTGACTGTAAATATGAATTATTTTTCTGTTAAAGAGGATTGAAACAGCATAATTAGAAAAATTTCACTATTTAATCATGATATTTTAACAAACTATATGGTTAGTGGTAAAAATCCTCAGAAGGTTGGCTTTTTGCTAACCTATTTCTTATTATTTAGCCAATAGTTTTTTATTGAATACAAAAAAATTATTGTATCCTAGTATCAATATGATGTTGTCATGATAGGTGGGTGCCATGCTTTGCCATTTAGAGAATTTACTCCCTTGCATGAATCTGATTATCTTGGGGTGCCCAACAGATTTTGTGTTTGTAATAGTATGAATCTAATTTTTATGGGGATTTCCAACAGATGTTGTGTTTGTACTAGCATGGATCTGATTGTTCTATATGATTTCCAACAGATTTTGTGTTTGTACTAGCATAGATCTGATTGTTCTATATGATTTCCAACAGATTTTGTGTTTGTACTAGCATAGATCTGATTGTCTTATATGATTTCCAAC